ATATACACACACACACACATATGTATATAATTTCATTGTTCTAAATTGTTGCATATTAATGTTACTGTGCCGTCAGTAGACTTATTTTTATTATAATTAATTTCTTATTAAATTATGTAATGTATTGCATTTTTCTTAGTTGAAGGGTTTTTGTTGTAAGTTGTGATTCTTTGTTTAAGGATTGTGTCATTCATATTGCATGTAATCGTTTACGGGGGCGAGAGAAGTTTAACATCCTTCATGACTATGTAGCGAGGGTAAAGAAAAGATAGTTTTCAAGTTAAATTTAACTGCCAACTTGAGGAAAAGCCCGAACACAGGGGAAGAAAACGTGAGTTATGCAGGCATATCATACATTTTCTACCTTCTTTTTTTTTAATGTGGTAATTTTCAAACCTTTTTGTTTACTCTAAGTCTGTGCAGTTTTCGCATAGCAATAATCCAGAAATCTTTTAAGTTCATTTTGTTCGAGCTACCTTTGTTCTTTTGCTATTCTCTGGAAATAGTACCTGTTTTGCTCATAGGCATATTACTGTAACACTGCGTTATATATAATAGCATTGTCCTTCAGTGGTAGGCCAGATGATATCTCATAATTACGGTTTATTCTTAGTTAAATGAGAATTATCAGTCACATGGGTACCAGCACTGGGTAAATCTGATGTTAAGTGAAAAATGTTGGATTTAAACAGTATACATGGAATTTCAGATGTGTTGGTTGATGGGAAAACATCAAGAAGAAAAAAAATCTGTTAAACAGTTCAATAATTAAGTTAAAGGCGACCATCCAGTGTCCAATTATGCACACTGTATTTTGTATATTTAATAAATAAACATTGATCTTATTTTGTGTTACACATTGTGTCCATTTTTTTTATTACATAGCTTAAAACTCAACCAGTTTAGTTAAATTCAGTACCACTTCTCGTGATTTATCCTGCTGATCATCCCATTACAAGTAATAAAAAAGTTGCAAAAATTAAGTATGATGTAGGGATGGCAATGCCAAAAAGGTACAGAAATAACATACGGATTAATACACAAAACCATTCAAAAATCACTACATAAGTAGTAGCCAAATTTTTCCAAGAATAAGTTTTATCAACAACTAATTGTTGAATTTATGAATTTGGGTTTGAATAAAAGCATTTCACCTGATAGTGCTAATAACCATAAGCATGTAAGATTGACTCAATATTTACTGGCTACTTATGTAGGGATTTTTGTATGGTTTTATGTATTCAACCCTGCCTTGTTTCTGTACTTTTTGGCATCATCATCCCTATATTATACTTAATTTTTGCACGTTTTGTGTTACTTGTTTTGCTTCTTTTTTTAAACAGTTTCATTGCAGTAGGTTGATAAATGAACATTTGTTATATTTTTAATTCAATAGTAATATATATATATTGTTAATATCATATAAGGTTTGTTAGTTTATCTAATTTTGGATTACACTGGAGCCAGTGAAGCTGGAATGGTTCCTTCCTGGAGCACTGTGACGACATTAAATGAATATTTACAAAGCCTACATATTCTAATCTCACTCAACTCACTTCATGTGCATACAATTGACTCCACCACATACTAGGGTCATGTCAATTAAAAGGGAGGACATCATACAGATCCCAGGCCATGAATTATTATACCACACATACCCACACAGCTACCAGGTTCGGCCCCACCTAAAATTTAAAGAAAAGTAGACTGCTATATAATGTTTTGTTAATTATGAAACTGGTGTTTTTAAACTCAGACATCAATAACATGTACACAGATCTGATACCTTGAATATCAGTTTAGATTATTCTTCATTTATTTATTTTTACAGAAATTGTTTTAGCAGATATCATGTTTATGCAATTAAAAGTCACACATGGTCATTATATAAGAACAAGTTGTGCTGCCATCTAACGATCAGAAATGAAATTGTTATTTGTGAAATACGAAAATAATAAACTGAACTCACTGCTAAGTAGTAATTTTCCTATTTATTATTTTCCGCAAAATATACGTGTGGCAGAAGAAATAATAATATTACTGTTATGCAAGACACTCGATAATGGCAATTATATACTCAAACAAGGTTATAACTTAACTTTAGTAGTTATTTGTAAGTACCATAGACTAATAGATGAAATGCAATGGCCATTATTTTCTCACGTCCATCTCTAGATACCGAGCTTAGTGATAGTTTGTTCCCAAGTACACTTAAAATGTGTTCTGTCGTACTAAAGCCATTGCAAAAATGTAACTAATTTTCTGGCTAGCGTGAGAGAAGAAAAAAGAAAGATGAACACTTTGGTTCATTAGCTAGTTCCCAGTTCTCTACTTTAGAAACACATTTTAATGATACTGGGAGTCCCATAAACTGAGAAACACTTGATAATGGCAATTTGATGCTCAAATAAGGCTATAACTCAACTTTAGTAGTTATTTGTAAGCATCATGGGGTAATACGGTGAATGTGGGGGGCCATTTTTTACTCTGCCCATCCCTCCATACGAAGAACTACCATACTTAATGATAAAGCACTCCCATTTATTGTGGAAATAAATTTAATCTGAGAATATTACCATTATTTGAGAAAAAAAATTAATAATTGTATGTAATATGCTTTTAAGTCTTTGAAAAATATGCAATTAAGTCTAATTAAGTCAACCAGAATGAAGGTATCATAGTTGAAAACTGCCGGATGTTACTCTTCTATAACTGAAAAATAATATATATTG